CGACCCCCGTGCCCCACCCTCTCTATTCACCCAGTCCCATCCTGATGAAAAAAAGCCCTCAAAGGGAAACATTTTGCTGATGAGGAAGGGGTGAAACAAGAAATGGTAGATGTACTAAAAGGCATCAAAATCAGCAAGTTCAAAAACTGTTTTTAGCAGTGGAAAAAAATGTCTTGATAGGTGTGCTGCATCAAATGGAAGTACAATAAGATATTTTGGGAGAACCTTTATTACAGTATATTATTATAATTGTTCTATTTTATCATTCATGTTTGTTGTCTATCTCTTACTGTGTTAATCTAGAAATAAAATTTTATCATAGGTATGTATGTATAAGAAAAATAGTATATGTATAGGGTTAGCTATTATCCAAGTTTTCAGGTGTTTAGTGGGGGTCTTGGAATGCATTTCACCACAGATAAGGGGAAACTAGTGTGTAACACACACATATGCCATATACCCTAAAGGTCCATGAGTTCTTGGAGAATTAAAAAACCAGGGGATTTGTTTCAGATAATAATTTTTAATATGTTTGTGTTTACATTGGTTCAGAGCAATTACCTATTCAAATGACAGAATTTAACTTAAATGCAGAATTTCTCTACATTAGAGGAGGTTTCTGTAGTTTGAAATGCTCTCCAGTTTATTCTGCTAGTATTCTTCCCCAGCTTTGTACATCCTTTCACAATTTTTGCAGTTTCTGGGTTTATAAATAAAATGAGACCATGTTCTATTTTTACACCTCTCCCTACTCCATGGACAGAAGTACTTAGTCCTTGCAATCGGGTGGAGGATGGAGAGCTTTATAAAAGGAGTTCCTGGTATGCTTAACACTGAGCAATGATTTTATCCACTAAGAATAGCTAGGGAACGTACTTCTTCTTCCCCAGCTATTGCTGCGGGTCTTAGGCATATGCTTGAAGGCATTTGCGGCTACAAAAACATTTTTATGGTGAGGAGCATTCCAAACACTTCTCCTCTTTTAAATTAGCTTTTAAATCATCAAAACCTTGTGCTCAAGTAGCCAAATGATTTTATGTTTTTTGTTTTTTGTTTTCACTTGGTACAACAGTAACAGGATAAGTTGCTTTGTTTAGATGTGGCATAGAACTGCAGCATAACCTGGTCAAATTCAGGAAAACTGCATTTCCTTCTTAGAGTCCAAGTGATCTCAGCTTTATTCCAAAGGAAGTCTAATTGTTCACTTCAGAATTGTGGCTGAGTTATACACCTCAGATAATCCAGGTTGCCCTCTCTGTTGGACTTTGGGATCAGGCCAGCTTTCTGAAGTGTGTAAAGGACGATCCCTAAGCAACCCAGAGGAGTTTCCATGCTAGGGCTTAATAAAGCTACATTATCTGCAATTGCAATCGCAGAAGATTTGATCACAGACATAAATTTGTCACCAGCCACTGAAGGAGGACCTGAATGCCCCTCACCCCAAAAGGAAGGTTCTAAATTGTTATGGTTGCACTAGAAGGGCACAAATCCCTCTAGCACAACCTTCGTAGAGTGCCTTAGGTTTCTTCTTTGGTAGCTTCCATGAAAACTTAATAGCACTATAGCTGCCTTCAACTTTCAGGAAATCTGTTCTCTGTGTAGCAATCAACACAGAACGCTGATGTAAAGGAAACCACACTCAAATCTACTACCTTTTTAGGAAAAAAGCAAAGCAAAAAGCTTTGTTTTTTTATTTTACAATTTCTTTTTAATTATAGTTGACATAAAATTTCTTATTAGTTTCAGGTATACAATATGTGAGTCAACATTTATATACCTTACAAAGTGATTACCATAATAAGCCTAGTAACTATCTGTCACAAGGTGGTGTTCTTAAGCTAGTGTACAGACTCCATTTAAATTGTGTGTATATGTGTGTGTAGAAGCTGTCATTTAATAAACATTTAATAAACTCCCAAAGTATAATTCATTATACTTTGTCTAGAATTATTTCTTAGCCCTCTTTTCTCCATCTGGTAGAGAAAAGATGTTGTCAAGATAGGAGCACCTGTTTTGAGATTCAGAGAGAACTCATTTGCCCATAACTTACCACAGCACCTTGTGCGGGGTTCCCCCCAACCCTTGTGCCCAGCAGATCAGCTCTGGGTGAATCTTCCTTCACCCTCCCCTCTCCTGCTTTGTTCCCTGGCCAAGCTGTGGATGTGCTGGTGCCACTTGTCGGGGCACACACACTTCTTTGCCTTTTTGGGTCTTACACCTGTGTCTGGAATTTCTTGAAAATTTATAATGTCTCTTTTGATCAGATGAATTTATAATTCTGGCCTTTCCCTTGGTTGTTGGCATTTTGAGTGACTTAAAAAAGATATCTTATTGTTTATGGTATTACCATTCTCCCAATTTCCGCCCTTACTCCCACCTCCCAGCCCACCCCTCCAGATCCATAGTCAGTCCCCACACTGTTGTTCTTGTCTGTGGGTCCTTAGTAATGTTCTTTGACTACTCCCTCCACCTTCATTCAACCCATCCCCACTTGCCCCCTTCCCTCTTATGGCCGTCCATTTTTTGCACGATTATATGCTTCTGGCTCTATTTTGCACATTAGTTTATTTTGCTCATTAGGTCCCTCTTATAAGTGAGATCATATGTTATTTGTCTTTCACCAACTGGCTTTTTTCACTTAACATAAAAGTCTCCAGTTCCATCCATTCAGTTACAAAAGGTAGTAATTCCTTTTTTCTTTCTGCTGCATAGTATTCCATGTATAAATGTACTACAGTTTTTTATCTACTCATCTACTGATGGCCACTTAGGCTGTTTCCAGCCCTTGGCTATTATAAATTGTGCTGCTATGAACACAGCAGTGCATAGGTTCTTTTGAATTGGTGTTTCAGGATTCTTCAGGTATATTTCCAGGAGTGGAATCACCAGGTCAAAAAGCAGTACATTTTTAGTTTTGGTGGGGAATTCCATACTGTTTTCCACAATGGCTGCATCAGTCTGCATTCCCACCAACAGTGCACTGGGGTTCCCTTTTCTCCACATCCGTGCCAGCACTTGTTGTTTGTTGATTTATAAATGAGAGCCATTTTGGCAGGTATGAGGTGATATCTCATTGTGGTTTTAATTTGCATCTCTGTGATGGCTGGTGATGTTGAGTATTTTTTCAAGTGACTTCTTTTATTTTTACTTTTATTTCTTTTCCACATTATTCAAATTCATTTTATTTATGTGATACCTTTCTTTTCTACTCCAGATAGTTTTTGTCAAGCTTACATATCTTTTTAAAACATTGTTGTTCAATTATGGTTGCCCCCATTCCACCCCCCATAACTCTCCCCTGCCCTACCCACCCCCCACTTCCCATATGCAATGACTTCTTTTAAAACACACACACACACACACACACACAACTACACACACTGTAATTAACTTCCTCATCCTTACGTTACTGCTCTAATTTCCTTCTTCCCTCTACTGCCAAACTTCTTGGACAAATACTCTACACAAACTCCTTCTCCAGTGACTCAATTCTTGATCACATTCCAGTGTATTCCAATATGGCTTTGGTTTGCATCACCCCAATGAAACTATTTCTGCTGAAGATACCACAAACCTCCACATAAACAGCTTTTTAGTTCTCATGATTTCCCACATATGGTTTTCTTCGCCTTGAATGTCCTTTTCCATGTTGTCAAGGAAGGAATAGTCATCCTCCAAGATGTAATTCAAGTATTGCCTCCTATGTGCATCTTGTGTGAAGCCTGCTGTGTTGAATAGATGATGAATAAATAGACAGTATCACCATGTAAGTCATCTTTGACTCTTCCTTCATGCTCTCCCAATTGAGCTACAAAACTCACCAAATTATAATTCAGAAATGTTCTCAAACCCAGTGCTTCCTCTGCTTTTCTAATACTAGCTTTAGACCAGGTCTTGTTCATCTCTTCACCAGAGTATTTGATCTTTCTGACAATATTTTCTCTCTGATCCATTCCTCCTCCAACCTATCCCCAAGTCTTCTATTTAAAAACAAATCTATTCATGTTACTGTTCTTAAAAGCTACTACTGGCACCCCTTGACCCATGGCATACTTGCCCAAACCTCTCACATGGCGTGTGTGTTCTTTCACCATCTGATATCAGCCCACTGTTCCTGCCATGACCTAGCTCTCACCCATGACTCGTACTTAAAGCCTGCTTCTCCATATTCCTGAACACACTGTCTTTTCTCAACTGTTCAACCATCCACCATGCCTAGAGATCTCTTCCCCATATCCCACTCTGTTGATAGTGGGCAGATGTTCACATTCTGAGTAGCTTCTCTTTTCTGGAGGCTCTAATATAATTTTATTCATATATGTTTTTTCATAACCAGCTAAATACACTGAGAAACACTAATCATTGAAAAGATCATGATGCCTTATACCCCATATGTAATTCAATATTAAATTAATACTAGCCAATTTGCAGTTTTTCCTAGGATTACTTAAGATATTGTTTCTTTTAAAATACAAAATGTAAAATTCTTTTAAGACATTTTATGCTTATTTTCTTGGAGCCTCTGTTTTAGTGCTGCTCTAATCTATTATAGCTGTGAGTTACAAGTAGTATAGCTCAATGGATAAGAAGAGAGATTTGACATCAGACTGCCAGAGTTCAAATATCAGCTCTGCCACTTATTGGCTCTGTGACCCTGGACAAGTTATTGAACTCTCTGTGCCTCAGTTGTTTTATTTTTAAAATGGTGATTGTAGTAGGATCTATGTCATTGAGTTGTTTTTTGAGGTTAATACATAGCAAGCACTGTCTGGTGTATGTGTGTGTATATATACATATATATAAAATCTGGTATTAATATAGATTATACAGAGATTTACTTGGTAATGCCTCTTCCCCACACTATTGAACTCCCCTGGGATAAACAATCTACCTTATTCATCAGTGCAAAACCTGGCGTCTAGTGGCCACACAGATAGTGTTTAATGAATGAGTGGATAATCAGTAGGCAAGTAAATGTGACTCCATTGATTCTCTTGCAGACTTCCCTAAGTTTCCTGGGACAACTGGAGAAACAAGCTCTAATAGATGCAGACAATCTGACGTTACTGGAACATCTCTGCTCAAAAGCTGCACCTAACCTTTTGAAAAAGATAAGAAAATATAGAAGAGAGAAAGGTGACTAACTTATGCTTGCTTGCACCAGACCGTGGAAATTCTTAAACTAATTGGTCATATGATAATTGGTCACTCTGATGACATTCTCTTGGGAAAGCCAGAACTCTCCTGAATTTCTTTATTCACCTCATTTATTGAATGCATACTTTGTGCTAGACACAGTTCTAGAAACTCCTCTTGGGAACTTATATCCTAGAGGGAGGAAGTAGTTTTTAGACAAATGTCTTCTTCTTATTCTTATATGAGAGCGAGAGTATGGGAGATCGGTTAGAATGAAATAACAATAAAGGAGGCAGGATCGCCTAAGGATTATGTTAAGGAGTCAGGTCACTAGGACTTCATTTACTAGTGATGCAGTGGCCCTTTTCTCAGCATTTTTATGTCTCACTTTCCCTGTCTCTGAAATGGGGATAATGATAGTATTCACCTCATGTGTGTTTTTGAAGATATGCACTTTATATGAATTATAAATGAATTACATATGAATTATAAAATGCATATCTGGCACAGAGTAAAGCATTCAATACATGTTTCTATGAATGGTTTGTCAGAGAGAAGAGTCATCAGAATTTTCATGTGGTATTCTCAGAAATTACTGTCAGAGAAGATATTTATTATTATTCTTTTAGTCTGTCTTGTAGAAGTAGTATTGGTTTGGTATTATATAGAGGTATTAGCACAGAGCAGAAACAAAACCTGGCTGCCTTACTGAATATCAGTATGCTAAATTGGTGTTATTATGACTCTATTTTTCCACTGTTTAGCAAGAGCTATAGAGAACCACATCCATATTTTAGTTCAGTGAGTCAACCTACTGTGCAAATTTCTGTGGTTAAAAACAAAACTAGCCAAAAGGAAACTTCTCTCTAAGAATTCTATAAACACAAAATGAATTGTGGAACAAAATATATTGTTATTAAACTGATGAAATCTCAAACCATGCCTAAAGCAATGAATAAATGTATAATTTAAGTAAAACTTATGAATAATAAAAATAGGTGTCTAATCATTGAGGTTTCAAGTGCAAAATAAAAAGCAGGAAGTTGATGTTGAAAGTATATTTGGAATCCTCACTTGAACTCTGATCTCTAAAATTTTTTTATCTAAGCACACTGACATTCTCCTGTAATGTTCCCATAAACATAGGGGAGGTTGTCAGATTGTTTAGAATATCTGAAGTCTGCATAAGTCACTCTAGTGTTTATGTAGTAAATGCTTCCATGAGTCTTGAGGACTGAGTTTCATATCAGAAGAATTCTAATTTTGATTTTTCTTTTCTACAACCTATCTGCTGTGTGATTCCTTGGAATGTTGGGAGAAAGAAAAAAGGAACTCTTGTTTTCCTCTACTACTCTCATATCAACACTTCCGGAACACTTCTGACCCCCAGTGTGTGAGTTTTTCCACACCAAACAATTCTCCAGTTCTCTGCAGACACCAGCTGGGTGTCCTACATTTAACTCAATTTTGACACTAACCAGAGTTAGCGCAGGCCCTAAGGTCTCAGGCCCCCAAGACCACCCCCCACTTCAGATGCCACTTACAATTAGTGGGTCCCCACATTACACGCAGCATGTGTCTAATTTGGGTAGAAACTGGTAGTTTTAACGATGCCCCCCTTGGGTTCAATACTTTGCTAGAATAACTCCAGACTCAGAAAAACAGTTTACTTACTAGATTACTGGTTTACTATATAAGAAACAGCCAAATGGAAGAGATGTATAGGGTAAGGTATGGAGGGAGGGACACGGAGCTTCCAGGTCCTCTCCAGACAATTCACCCTCCCCACACCTCCACGTGTTCACCAACCTGCAAGTTCTGTGAACCTCTTCAGTTAGGGTTTCTTGTTTGTTTGCTTGTTGTTGTTTTGTTTTGTTTTGTTTTATTTTTTATGGAGGCTTCAGCTGTAGGTATGATTGATTAAATCATTGGCCATTATGATTAATTTGAACTCTAGCCCTTCCTAGTGGTCTGAAGGTAGCTTCTTCCAATCACATGGTTGGTTCTTCTGGCAACCTGCCCCCACCCCAAGGCTGTTCAGGAGCCCCCAACCATCAGTCACCTCATAGGCATATGAAAGACATCACTTCAGAGAGCCTAAGGATTTTAGGAGTTGTGTGCAGGAAAGGGAGCAGAGACCAAATATATATTTATTATTATATTATAGGTGTCAATGGATAGTTTAATAGTGACTTTCTACAGTCCTAAGAGTTTGGGTTTAATTCACTCAATACTTACTTAGATGTTTTTACTTTTAAACATATTTTGTTTCATCACAATAATACATCAACCACAATAAAGTGAGCTAAGGAATGGAAGGCCATCATGTTATATAAAATTTGATATAAAAGCTTGGAATCATGTTACAAATTAGATAATTAACAACAAAAATTTTAAAGTCCTATAAAGCTATTGAGAAGTTAGAATTTCATGTACATAATACATTTTAAAACATATGGCCCAAAATGTTACCTTTAGTATGTCCAAAAAAAAGTTCATCTTGGACTATAAATGCAATCAGAGAGCCGTAATATAAATGAGCTCAGTATTTTCAATGGCACTGATGCTGTGCTGTGGTATGACGCTCTGCCAAGTGACAGAAAGTGGACACTAGGAGAACCAATCTAGATTCATCATAACGCAGCAACTTAAAAACTTCTAACAATAATAAATACATAAGTGCTATCCTCCACTCTGGCTTATGTGTTGACCTAACACTTAAAAGTATTTATCCATGAATGGCAGTAACTGTGGCCATTTGCCAGATACAGAATAAGTGATCCAGCAAATAAAAGCAGCAAGAAAATCACAGAATACTCCTAACAGTTTAATATCTTTTGCTTGTGATTACCTTCTGTGATCTGAAACTTTTGTTTCATATGACATTGGAATTCTTGCAGTCCCTGCTCATCTTCAGGTTGCCACCTGTTTCCATGAAAGTCTGGTTCTGGTATGTCCCAGAGGCAACGTTCTTTTTAGAGACAGGTTATTTCTTCTTCCGAGAGTCTTCTCTTTCCTTCAAGTTTCATTCTCTCTTCTTGGTGAATTCTATTAAGCTGATCAAATTTAACCTGTACTTCTCTTTTAGCTTCTTCTAGAATGAATGGCTTCTTTCTCCATTACTTGCTGCAAAAATGTCTTCCTCCCTTTCTTCCTCCCTCTGATGTTCCCCATAAAATTTGTGTCTTTTGGTTTTGTAGGTCTCTTGACGTATTCTCTGGGCCCACATGCCCATTTCCTCCAGTTTGCAAAGCCTGTAAATTTCATAGTGCCTAGTATGGGTCTGTTCTCCCAGATCCTTTATGTGTGTAAAAATGAGCATTTCCCGGAGCTTTACGAAGTCTCAGTCATTTTCATTTTCCATTTGTAGAACACCCCAAGTGTGCTGGTGAATTTTGACCATATTATTCCCAACTTTTAACTCATCCATACTTCTGTCAACTGATGATCATTGGCACCAATTCAAGGCCTACAGGAATCCCCAAATTGGGGAGTGGTGAAGAAGGAAACTTTATTTAGTGCAAACAGTGATAGAGCACGACTATGAAAGTAGTGCTACATTGCAGCTGTTCAAACAGCAAGGCTCTGAGGCTGCCCCTGCGGCCAGGTGGCCCTGGGGCCAGACCTCTCTTCGGCTAGGCAGCTCCGCGATGGGCTGTTCCACTGTGGGCCGGACTGTCCTGCTCTGGCCAGACATCTTTGGTGTTTCAGCTCAATCCTGGGAAATGCAATCTTCAGTCTTTAGTGGAAAGTACACTCTGAGAGCCAAAGGGGAGCTGGTTTATATGCACAAAAGTCCCTGCCCTCGGTCCCCGACTGACCTGCCCTCATGCAAATGAGGGCTCTGTATCCTTAGAGTTTCATTGGTACAAAGACACTGCCCTGGTTGGTCAGAGCTGCGCAGCTCTGATTGGATGGGGAAAGCCTCTATCCTATTGGTTTAAATAGGGTTCTAGAAAACCTTTATAAAGACTTGTTCAAAGGGCAGAAACAGTGTGGGCAGGCAGTTCTGCATAGAGGGAAGCAGGTTAGTGCAGAGGCTTCTTTGCAGAGTGCAGTTTGCGTGAGAGCGCCTGTGCAGAAGTGGCTGCTGGGCTCTGCTTTTTAAAAATTAGAGCCCAGCTGGACACCAGAGGCCGTTCTCAGTCCTCAGTGTTCACACTTTCTACAAAAGGAAAATGGTGAGTGTCATTCATGGAAGCCTTGCTTTTAGTAATAGTTTCATATCTGTTGGGAAATGGTATATCTGGACACCATTGCTGACCAATTCACTCATGAGCTTTATCTTAAACTTCTGTAATTCAGTATTAGAAATTGCATCATGTTTACCTTACTGTCAAGGTTCTTCATGGTTAAGAGATCCGTGTCTTCAGAGAGTGCCTTGTTGGTGAAATGAAGCAGAGGCACACATGGATGTGAGAAAGAGAGAAGGCTTACTCTTCAGTTCTTGGAGACAGGCCTCAAAATGAGCATTTATGTAGTCACTATTGGTTGGTAGGTCTCTTTTTGTTTATTTGGTCACCAAATCCCACTGTACCCAACAATGGCCCATTTTAATTGAACATCACTTTCTTGGAGTTCATATGTATGAGCTTTAAATCTAACATGTGGATAAAATACAAGGATTCATGGTCTTCAAAATTAGTTTTAAACAGTGTACCAATCAGCATCGATTTTCTAGCTCCAGTCTCCCCAACACAGAAAATATTAAAACAGAAGCCTTGCTGAAAGAACATATTGACCAGTGGATCAGGCAAACCCTTAAAACCACTATATCCAGACACAGTTAAAAGAGCAGATATTTTCTCTTTTGCAGAAGCTGAGCAAAGCCAACTGGGGGCCAACGAAGTAGCATACTTTGAGGGGTGTGCCCCAGTGGTGGAGGAAGCCAAGGAGGGCCAGAAGGAAGAACTACTTTCTGTTTCAGATATTAAGCAAATCCTTCAAGCCTTGCCGGTAGGTACATTGCTGTGTTGGAAAATGTTTAACCACTATCTCCACCTCCACCACAAGCTCCCAAGAAAAAGAGAGGGAGAATGAGAGGAAGGGAGGTAAGGGGGTGGGGAGGTGGAGAGAGAGAGGGAGGGAGAGACTGATTTCCATGGCTGATTTCAATTTACCAATCTGATATCAACTGTATTGCAGAATTTTTGAAAATCTAACAATGGCTCTCACTAGCTGGTTTGAGGTGACTCCATTATGCTGCTGCTATGTTGTACTATGTCATCTTTTCTTATCTCTGGGGTTCAGTCAGGGCTGGCTTCATGGGCATATAGCCTGTGCAGTGGCATAGGACCCATGCTTTTTTAATGCTTAGCTGTTGCTCTTTTGAAATTCTTAATAATGTATGAACCTTTGTTTTGCACTGGGCCCTACAAATTATGTAGCCAAGCCTCCCCAGAGGACAAGAACCGAGTTTCTGTAGTGCCCAGCAAGGGAAAAGGGCGGAAGAGGGAAACACTGGGAGACATTGCACTCTGTTCCTCACAACATGACCATGGTCCTTGAGAGACATGTGACATTCTTCCCTGGGTTTTGTTTCTTTCCAGTGGACTTGGGCAGTTCTATTTTGCCAGCCTCTGTCAGCATCAGTGAAGTTAGTTTGGTCTTGGAAATTTTTGTTTTTGTTTTTAACTGTGGTAAAACACAAATAACATAAAATTTATCATCTTAACTGTTTTTAAATGTAAAGTTCAGTACTGTTAAGTACATTCACATGGTTATGCCACCAATCTCCAGAACTTTCTATTTTTCAAAACTGAAAACTCGGTATCCACCAAACAATAGCTGCTCATCTCCTGCCCCCACCAGCTCCTGACAAACACCATTCCAGTTTCTGTTTCTATGAATTTGACTACTCTATGTACCCCGTATAAGCAGTTGTACAGTATTTGTCTTTTTGTGACCAGCTTATTTCATTTAGTGTAATGCCCTCAAGGTTTATCCATGTCAGAGTTTTCTTCCTTTTAAAGGCTGAATGATATTCCATTTTGCTTATCCATTCATTTATTGACAGATATTTGGGTTCCCTCCACCTTTGAACATAGTACAAATACCTCTTCGAGACCTTGCTTGCAGTTCCTTGGGATATTTACCCAGAAGTGGAATTGCTGGATCATAGGGTAATTCTGTGTTTTAGTTTTTGAGGAAACACCATACTGTTTTCCACAGCAGCCGCATGGTTTCTACCAACAATTCAGAAACGTTCCAATTTTTCCACATCTTTGCCAACACTTATTTTCCTGGTTTTTGATACTAGCCATCCAAATGGGTGTGAGGTGGTATCTCCTTGCGGCTTTGATTTGGACTGCATCATTAATGATTAGTGATGTTGGGCATCCTTTCATGTTTGTTGGCCATTTGTATTTCTTATCTGGAGAAATGGGTTGTTTTCAAGTTAGGTTGTTTGTGGAAGTTTTATTTTTTTAAAAAATTTATTTATTTATTTTAAATTATCTGTTTATTGTTTAGTTGACTTCATTGGGGTGATATTGCTTAATAAAATTATATAGGTTTCAGTGGTACATTTACATTTTAAAGGACATAGTTACCTCCACCACCATCTTTTATTAAAAAAATGGAATTTGCCTCCTTTTTGAAGTGTGTGGTGTTTTCTTGTGATTAGATTCAAGCTATGTATTCTGGCCCGAATTTCACATAGATGATCTGCATTTCTCAACATCACATCTGGAAGCAACAGTGTCTGTCTGCCCCTCATTTCTGATGCTAATTTTGGATATGTGGTCCAAAGGTTGTCTGATTGGTTCATTATATAGATAGTTTTATAGAATTACTATTTTTCCTTACAACTAATAAACAAGTATTGGGGAGACATTTTAAGGTGAAGCAAATATGCTACTTTCTATCAAAATTTTCCTCTAAATTGAGCATCCATTGATCATTCTTGTGTGACTGAGTGTCTATTATGTTGATTGAAAAGCAATGATTCTCAAACTCCAGTATTCTCACCACATTTATAAGTCAACATTCAACATTATACTACGTTAGTTGAGAGCCCCCTTTTCTTCCCTCAAAGCTTCTTTTGCCCACTGAACTTAATTCTCCCCTATTCTTTCAAGTATTTTTGTGTGTGCTCAGATACTGATGTGTATGTACCACACGCATATGCACAAACACACATGAGACTTTGCTCGTTGTCTCTTAGAAATTCAGTAGTTTCTAAGGGCTGTGGCTCAGGCTCAATCTCTAAGTGCTGCTCTCTTGTTGACATTGGATGATTCTGGCCACAGGCAGATGAAGATGAAGATAGTTGTGAGGTGCTGGCAATGCAGGAGGCTTTGCGGGGGCAGCACCTAACATTATATATGTTCTCATAGACTCTCAGGGTTGAAAGGTGTATTAAAAGTTATCTAGGCAACCGTGCCCCTGTCCATAAAGTGGTGGGTAAAATAACACTGGATAAATCATCTCATGGTTCATATGCACCTAAGAGGTTTTCTTACATAAAAGAGCTCTGCGAACACTCGCATTTAATGAGAAGAAACTGTATTTCAAGCAATATCCCCTAATTTGATCTAAAAGCAAGTCAATATTTTTGAGTGTGACATAGGCTATCCTTACTGAACTATTCCAGAAAAAAAAAATGAAAGACCAAACATGACTGGGAAGCAGGTCATTCATTCATTCATTCATTCCTCTCTGACAAAGACTTGGTGGGCGCCAACAGAGGATGCAACATCCTCTGAGAAAGAGAGCCAGGCAGACCTTAAAGCTTACTTCCCATCCTTATTGCAGTTGATTTTATCCAGATTTGAAAGAGAGGAAACAAATCAAGGAAACCTGGGGTCTGGGGGCTAAGCAGAGCCCACTTCTGCATCTGGAATTACCCTAATTCCAGGAAACTTGCTCAGCTAATTTTAAAACCATCTGGACAAATGGGAAATAGCCTGCCAGGCCTTTGGATGTTGCTAATAAGGACTCCAGGTTTTTAAAGAAAGGGAAATGCGGCTTGTGAAAAGAAAGGCAGGAAGTCTTCAGAAGTGAAACTGAACGTCTTTGCATTTTGTTCCTTCAAAGAGCTGAGGAATTCTGCTATCGTGCACCTTAGGAGAGAGGCAGTGTACCTTTAATCTGAGTTGAAGATAAATCACTTCCTGTAGCCAGGAGCCTGGTGGCCCCAGCAGGGAGGCGCCCAGTGACTTGGAGGTGATTCAAACAGGTGTCCTGGTGCCACTCACCATGCAGCCAGTGGCAGGGTGAGCCCCTCCCCAGAACACCGTGGTCACGTCCCTCTGGGGCTTTCTGCTGCAGACCAAAGGCTGGGTTTGAGGTGGTAGGGGAGGACAATGCAGAAAAGCTGAGGTTCCTAGACTGTGTTTCAGTTTTGTACTTAGTTATAGAGACCATTTATGTAGCCCAAAGTAAAAACTATGATAGAGTACACACGGAGAAGTCTGGGTCGCCTCCTTGCCTCCTCCCCTCCCCCATAGATTACCATTTTAATTAGTTTTCTGATTTACCCTATTTTTACTTTCAAAAAAGAAAACCCAGCCATACCTCCCCTAGATTCTAAAAGAGATATCACACTAAAATACTGTTCTTTGCCTTACTTCCTTCATGTAACAGTATCAGCTGGAGAAGTGTATAGAGATTGACTTCAGCACCCTATGCTCACTGTGTGGCTATTCCTTAGTTCCTTCAACCACTCCCTGTTGGCAGATGTTAGAGTTACTCCTAGTCTTTAGTATAATGCTGCAATGAATAAATATCCTTGTGCGTGTGTCGTATCATATTCCTGCCACTGTGTCCTCATGAATATTCCCCTTTGGAAGAAGGGAGTTGATTCTGTTTTTGTTGCCTGCCAGTGACCTTTACGACGGCTAGAGATTAGGTATCTGTACTTTTCTACATCAAGTCAATTTTTTAAAACAGTTTACTTACCAGTTTTATGGTAAGGATACAACTCAAGACCACCCATATGGAAGAGATCTGTAGGGCAAGAGGTGAGAGTTGGGAGCGGCAGGGAGCTCCCGTACCTTCCCAGGGCGCATGTGTTCTCACACCCCAAGTCTAGATTTTCAACCCTTTCCCCTAACTCTGTGAATTTTCCGCATTTTATGCACCTCTTGTTTCCTCAGCGGGAGGGGCCCTGGCAGGATGAGCCTGCAAGGAGTAGTGGTAGATACTCTTAACACACCTTTTTAAATTTGGGTCACTATGGCAGAAATAGATATATTTGATACAGAGTTATTTAAGGTGACTTGGGAGAAGGGTTACAAATTAGTGGAGAACTCATTTCTTCTCTCAATTCAGAGCAAGCCACTGAATGCATGGATTATACCAGGCTTTTCTATGGGAGGATGAAGAGGTGATTTCTACTCTGAAAGCCTAGCATAGCAGCTTCTGGGGAATGCAGGCAGCCCTTCAGAAGAACCCTTCAGAACCCTTCAGAATCGCTCTGTGGAGAGCGAAGGAACCCCTGGCAGGGCTGAGGCCCCAGGCCAGCAGTGGCGGGGTGGGGGGCGGGGCAAGTGAGTGGGGGGTGGGCGGGGATGCTGAGTCTGAGGACGACGGTGCGGCTCCGCATGCTGCTTGCAGAAGCTGGAGGGAGGGACTTGGCCATGGTGTGTTTAGTTTCCTGAATCTTTGCCCAGAAACCATAACCTCAGGAAAATATTTCAGAATCTGCCATCAGGCTAACCTGCTTATAGACAAACAGGTTTTTGATGTTGTCTGTCTGTGATGTGTAAAGTTTATCAGATCTGATTCCTCATTTTTTTTTTCCTGTAAATTTAAATTTCAGAGTCCAGCACTCTCCACTTTCCTGGGAATCTCTGTTTTTGTTTTTTTGTTTATTTGTTTGTTTTTGCATAACTGAGACATTACATGATATGTTCTTGGTGAAGTTACCATTATAGAATATGTGTCATGTGCTAGGCATTGTTCTAAGAGCTTCCCCTAGGGCTTATCTCATTCAATTCTCCTGTCACCTGGACACAGGTGCCACTTTTATCATCATTTAATGATGAGGAAACTGAGACCCAACGACTCTAGTCTTTTGCTGGAAGTCACGCAGTTAGAAAGGAGTGGCGCTGGGATTTGAGCCTAGCGGTTGGGCTCCAGAGCTTCAGAGCAAAGACTTACTGTGTAGCTATAGGAGCTTAGGCAATGGCTTCACTTCCTTGAAAAATAAACAAGCTTCTTTCAGTCTTGCAGTTCTGCGGTTCTAAAGTTTCGCATGGCTTCCCTGGAGCATTACCTTCTCCCGAGGTGAGGAGGAATGTTCAGGGGCTCCGTAGGACTGCAGCTCGGGTCCTTTTTGGTGTGTTTTCAGGTCTGGGTGGTACTGGACTTGCTCAGCCTGAGCGGAGCACCCAGGACTGACCCTTAACCAGAGTTAATCAGTAACTCACTGATGAGGGCAGAGCTTGCTGGACTCTACCAAAAACTTGCTGATGGGAGAAGGAAACTTTAAGAGAAATTTTCTTGTTACTGTCATGTGACAAATAGCTCATCTTTGGCTTCCTCTCTATGACGGATTCTAATTTAGAGGAACCAGGGAGTTTGCAGGTACCCTTCAAAGCACTGAAATCCTCAGCTAATGCCAAAATCATGACTAAGTAATCTCAGGGCTATGGACTGGTTTTTGTCCTTCCCAGACTGAGTCTCTAGGCTTTTTTTATTCCCTCTTTCTTCTCCTCAGTATCTGGCCAGCCTCTCTCTAGCCAGTGACACATCAATGCCAATTCTTCCTAACCAAGCTTTCTACCAGAAACATTAGAGCTGATTCATGTGATGTTAACTCTCAGCTCAGCCCATGTAAGACCGTCTAAGTGGGGAGAGATATTGGAAGAATCTGAGTACTTCTCTTTCTAGGTGACAGAGTAACCCTGGTCTCCATGGAGATGTAGGGACCATCTGCTTACATTCTAACTTTTGAAACCAACACAGACGTCTAGGCAGTTTCTTCAGGGCATCTCCAACTGGGGTCTAGCCCGTAAAGATTCTGAGGGCTTAGAGTTCTTTGTGCCTGTCGTGGCTCTCCTTCCGCTCTCTCCGATTATCTCTGTCTTTCCCACCTTTCTCTGTAACCATCAGAAACGTGTTGACCTTTGGCTGTGGAGAGGATGCGCTCCCCCTCTCAGCCAGCCCTTTTAATTATTTTGAGAAAGGGAAATTTCTCTTTTAGTGACTGATGCCTCTTCTTTTCTGTTTGGATTCAAGAGGTACCATGTTTTCAGGTCATTTTAGCCAGACAGAGGCCCCGCTGAAGTCAACTCAGATAATTTGCAATCGTATGCTGTTTATAGTAGCCTTCAGAAAGAATTGCATATATTTTAAAATTCCTACTGTGATCTCTACCGAAGAGATTTCTCTGGTTTTGGAGGAATCAGATCACTCCAAATCCCACTGTCTGAAAAAAAAATTAGAATTTGATAGTTTTGTTGTCTTATTAGATCCTTACTTATGGATCCTTCACCTGGCTAATCTAAAAGGAAGATGCTTTTGCATAACCTGGGTTTTCTAAAGTTAAAGTACATAGTCTGTTACTTAACACTGAGGATTGACATTCTGCAATTAAATGAAGTGCAGTCTGAATTTTAATCAGGGCCTGGCCATTGACTAACTGCAGACCAGGGCCAGGGCCTGGAGAATTCCGTGATCAATGAAGCGGTTGGTTAGAAACATTAAACTCTTAAAGTGAGGATTCCCTAACAAGTGACTCTATCTCTTCTTCTTTCAAGGAGGAAGCTGTGTATAGGATGGATCGGAAATACAGAGGCCACTGTGTTGTTATCAATAACCAGAACTTTACCTCACTGAAAGAAAGAAGAGGAACCCAAAAAGATGCTGGTAAGAAAGGCTGTAAGAGTATATCAAATGCAAGTTGGGGATCTTAAAATAATTTTTTATTTCTTATTTTCTTTCAGTAATTTTTATCTTCCATTTAAATGTAAGGATGATATTATAAATATTTCTAAGCCTATTACGTAGCCCTAGTGTTTAAGTCCTTCCAGGCTGTGATATCAAACTACAAAGACTGGGTGGCTTACAGACAACAAACACTTTTTCCTCACAGCTCTGAAGGCTGGGACGTCTAAGATCAAGGTTCTGGTGTTCCAATGCCTGGTGAGAGCGGGCTTCCTAGATGGCCACCTTCTCATGGCTCTAACCTCACTTGGCAGAAGGGACAGGAGCACTTTTTGGGGCTTCCTAATGGGCCCAATCCTCATGGCCTAAGCACTTTCCAAAGGCCCCACTTTCTAATACCCTTTCTTTGAGGGTTAAGATTTTACATACAAATTCTGGGGGGACACAAACTTTCAGACCATGACACCTGGGGTGTCACCAGCCTGCTTAAAGAGCAAAAAGAATCCCTGACTGTTTATGGCTCTGTGGTTTGGGGGCGAGCATGCTGGGTCTGTATGAGAAAACCTGCATTTGGGCTCTAGCTCCACCGCTAACCAGGTTTGTAGCTGTGGGAGACTCACAGGACCTCCGCTCCCTCATCTGTGAAACAGAATGAACTCTGGCCTCTGGTGACCCTCAGGGCCATTGTGATAATGCTGTGGGTACTATAAAAAAGCAGATTACTTATAAAATTTTATGTCATGAAAGTAAAAATAAAAAAATCCAAAGTGTCAAGCTATTTGCTGTGCAACTTTTATAACTATTAGCATTGTTTGACCCATTCATTTTATTTTATTTCAATCAATTTCACTTCATTCTTTTCTTTCTTTCATTCTTTCTTTCTTTTTGACAGACTGCCTGATGCATGTGTTTCAGTGGCTTGGGTTTGTTGTAAAAATATATGATAATGTGAATAAAACAGAACTGGAGGAGGTTCTTAAGAAATATAAGAGTCATCCAGACCATGCTGAAGGAGACTGCTTTGTGTTCTGTGTCCTGACCCATGGAAAATTTGGAGCTATCTTCTCTTCAGATGAGGCCCTCATTCCCATTCGAGAAATCATGTCTCACTTCACAGCCCAGCAGTGCCCTGATCTGGCTAACAAACCCAAACTCTTTTTCATCCAGGCCTGTCAAGGTGAAGAGATACAACCTTCTGTATCCATTGAAACAGATGCTGTAAATCCTGAGTCCACACTCCCTCCCCTTCAGGACAGTGTTCCTGTTGAGGCGGATTTCCTTCTTGGCCTGGCCACTGTCCCTGGCTATGTATCCTTTCGTCATACCACAGAAGGGAGCTGGTATATTCAGTCTCTGTGTAATTATTTGAAGGAGTGGGTCCCAAGGTAAGAGTTTCACATTATTCAATTCACCTACCTGTTTGTTCATCTGTCTGTCCACCTATTTGTTCATGCATCTGTCCATCCACCCACCCATGCATACAATCATGCATCCACCCACCCACGCATCCACCCATCCATGCATCCATCTATTCTAACATCTGTCCAGCCATCCATCCACCCATCCAACAAACCTGTATTGAACACCAGTGTACAACTGGAAAGGAAGATATGGAATAAAAAAACAAAGAAAAAAAACAACAAAAAACACACCCTGGCTGGTGTGGCTCAGTGTGGATTAAGTGCCGGTCCGCAAACCAAAGTGCACAGGCCTGGGTTGTGGGCCAGATCCCCAGTAGGGGGCGCTTGATAAGCAACTACACACTGATGTTTTTCTCCCTCTCTTCCTCCCTTCCCTTCTCTAAAAATAAATAAATAAAATCTTTTTTTTTTTTTTAAAGACACAGTCCCGGCCCTCAAGTTGCTCACAATTTAGATGGACAGACAAGTAGATGGGGAAGAGCATTTTCCAGTGGTAAATACATATTGTGAAGCATAGGTGTTACAGGAATGCATAGAATTAGTACCTCACCCAGATTTGGAGGGTCAGGGGAAAACTTCTAATTGTGGTGAAAGACATGTTAAACACAGGAAACAACATGAATAAAGGCATAGGGGCCTTTTATTTGTTCCTTCCTTTATTCATTTATCAATCACTCATATTTACTGAGTGCTCTCATGCGATGCCTTGGACCTTGGTCACCTGCCTCTACTCAGACGACTTTCCTTCTGTCTCTGCTACATGCTCCTCACCTGGTACCCTGGAGATAGGCATTCGCCAAGGTTCTGCCCTGGACCTTCTATGCTTTCTCTCTGCAACCCCTCATGGCAGTTTTAGCTGTACCTGGAGGCCACTGGAACCTCCACGAAAATGTCTCCCAAATTAGTAACTCTGAGTTTCTGGAGGGGTAACTTCATTCAATTACATCCTTAGTGCCTGGCATAGTATCTAATATATTGTTGAGCTTGGTAACTATTTGCAACCAATGAATGATTGATTAAGTCAACCTCATTCTTAAGGTCAGTCTTGCACATTTTTTCACGGCCCACGAGTCATCCTACCTTTGTGTTGTCCTTGGACCTTACAACCCAATGAATAGTCTTGAACTCACCTTCTCAGCCCTCTCCAGGAGCTTCTACTCCTGAATCCCATTTCTAGAAATGGCCACAATGCTCTTCTGGGAATTTAAGATAGGGACTCAGGATTGGAGCCTTGATTTACCTAAGCTTTCCCCTCTTCTTTACTAACCTCTATAGTCCCAGCATAACAGTCAAAGGCAATGTCTTATGGCTCCATGGGGACACTGTAAGCCTGCTATAGTGGGTACTGAGCTAGGGACTAGAGGGACATTGTTAAGAAGAGAGACAAAAATGTCTTCTCCATGGAGCTTACAGTCCAGTGAGGGGAAGCTATATAATAAAAATGTAAATAAGTAGATATTTAAATTAATAAGATAATTTCAGATAGTGACACCTGCTATGAAGAAAGCAAAACAGGATAATACTACAGAGAGTGGTGGCAAGGAGCTACTTGAGAAGACTTCTTGATCAAGGTGATAGTTCAAGTGTGACTGAATGCTGAGAAAGAGGAGTCAGCCACAGGAAGGTTTCAGGACAGAGATAACAGCTCTGTGAAACAGGATAAAAGGACCAAAAACCAGGCAGGGCCTGCATCTCATCTGAAAAATAATGGTGATGATGAGAAGTAGTGGTAATATTAGTTTAGCCAAAAATCCATATGGTTTTTTCTGTAAAATAAAGTACTTATTTTTCATTTTCACCAATAACTTTATTGATTTGAATATTTTGCCAGCTATCCCCCACCATGGTATGATGTTGATTGTTCTCAATTAATGTCTTGATTTGATCACTAACAACTTCAACTGGTCTACCCGATCATGGAGCATAATCCAGCAAGAAATCTCCAGCACAGAACTTCACAGATCATTTTTGACATGCTTGATCAGTCACAGCTCCTTCTCCACACACTGACTGCACAAATAGTTTTATTGCATTTCAGTTGCATTTTTACCTTTCTTGAAATATGAAAGCAAAATATGGTGAAAATGCATCTTTTCTTCCATCTTCAATATTAAAATGGCTGCACAAAAATTCACCAATTTCAATAAAATTTTACAAATGTAAACTGACATGACAGATATCACAATGCAATCTAACAAAATTGTTTCAAATGAAGTTCAAACAACTAAGCACTACCAGAGCCAGCTTCTGAGAAACCAAACTGATTTTTTTTTGCCAAAGTAATACTACTAATAATACTAAAAATGATGGTCAATGGAATATTGTACCCATGGTTCTAAGTGCTTTACATAAATTACCTCATTTAATCTCATGGCAGTACCTAAAGTGAGTATTGTTATCGTCTTCATATTAGAGCCGAGAAAACCGAACACAGTAGTGACTTGCCTAAGACCACATACTCAGTCAGCAAGTGATAGAGCCATGATTCAAACCCAAGTCTGTCTCAAGAGCCTTTGCTTTGCTTCCAATAATATGCATTGCCCACTCCTGGAGCATTCATTCTAGTAAATGCTACATGCCCTACAAGCCCAAGTACAAGTGTTACCTCCTCCATGGAGCCTTCACTGCTCTCAGTCAGAAGTTCTGTCTTTCTCCTCTGAACTTTCAATGGAACTTTGACCTTCTTTTCATATGGCATTGATCACATTCTGCCTTGTATTATGAATTTGGTACCTATGCTATTCTTGGTACCCATTTTATGTCTGCATTTTAAGTGTTTAAGATTAGGAATTGTATCATATTTATCTTTGTATCCTTCCCCAAGCCAAGAACAGAGAGGGTATTATTAATAGGAGGCTCTCTTTCTCTATCCCTATCACCTGCCCGTCTTATCTACCTACCTACCTACCTATCATCTCTCAGCTCAAAGGAAGAACATGGAAAAATAATTATATGTAAAGTTCCTTTATGAACGAAGTACATTAAAACACAAGGTTTAATTATTATAATTTTCTTAAACACTGAATGTGGAATTGAAAATTTTATATAATTTAGCATTTGTTTTTCTATTTCAGAAAATTTCTATTTCTATTGCTTTCTATTGGGCAAGATTCCAGTTAGAATCTAGGCATGTTAGGCTAGGAAGAAGTCACATGTTTTAGGGTCTTATTTCTAAGACCTGGTACGTGATTACTGTCTCCTGATTGAAAATATATTTTCTTCTCTGCCTACAGACATCAAGATATCTTATCCATCCTCACTGCTGTCAATGATGATGTGAGTCGACGAGGTGGAACAAAGAAACAGATGCCTCAACCTGTTTTCACACTACGTAAAAAAGTCATATTCCCTGTGCCACGAAAATAACTTTTATTATGGTAGGGAGGTTTCATTGACTCTTAGACTTGAAAGGAACTTTCTCTTCTAACTTCCAGCCTACTATAGGAGATCAGTGACAGATGGTGAGCTGGCTTCCAGTCTATCATTCTAGTAATAAGAAGTGCTGTATTTTCAGACTCAGTAAATTCTGCTTTTTCTTTTCCCCTTTCTCAAAAAGTCTAAATGATACAAAACTTTTTTACTGATGCCTTGGGTTATAATCTTGGTTTTAGCTGTGCATCCTGAGAAAAAAATAATTGGCCTTTGTGTATGTGTAAAGTGAAAAGTGGGAACAGGAACATTTTAAGGTTCCTTTTAGATCTAAGAACCAGTATTCTTAGATTTCTCCTCCACATGACCACTCCTTGTTGTAATTCTCTGTCTTCCCTGGTGCTTTGTTTTGGACATTGGCTGACGATGAGATCGCGGTTTGCTGACCCTACCTCTCCTCCTCCCTTCCCAAGGATTCCTTTCTGCCCTACAACTGGGGGAGGGAGGAATTTGGTTTATGCCACGGCCATTTCCTGCTGTAGTGTCAGGGAAGATGTTCCTGCAGGAACTGTTTTTCCTGGGTTGCAAACTGGGTTGGCCCTAGGAAGATGACGGCTAAGTGTAAAGAGAGACACATAGTCAGCTCCTCTGGGAGCAGAAACTTTACAATCTGCTGTTATGTCCCTGTTGGTCAGAACCGTTCAAATGTTGGTGACAGAACACTCAACTCAAGCTGACTAAAGCAAAGAACTGATTGCATCTCTCACTTGAAAACAAGAATGCGTAGTGCTGACTTCCAGTGAGGCATGAGTCAGGACTCAGTCCTCAGTGCAGCATCTGTCTCTTGGCCAAGGGCCCTCAGGCTTGGCGGCTGCACTGTGCTGACTTTCGTCAACAGCACCCCCACCGCCTCTGCCTCCCCATCACAACACACTCTGCTTCTCCAGCCCCAAGGACAGGAGATGCAGCTTGAGGGACTGAAGCTGTTCACAGGGAGTGTTGCTCTCTCCTTAGCCAGAGAGGTGCCTGGCTATGCCTTGTGGATAGGGTGGCTCTGGAAGGAATACTTGACACTTTTAAAATTAAGGTTTTGAATGTTTTTACATATGTGAACTTTTTTTCTATTGCAGAAGGAATGTTTCTTTTTCAATTGCTGGAAAGAAGGTGATTGGAAGTGTTGTAGTTAAAGCCTTCATTTATAGATGAGGAAGCTGAGGCCCAAGGAGGCAGGGCAATTGGCTACAGCATTTCAGCCAATTATTGTTCACATGATCTTATTTCCCATGTAAGTGAACTGGACCATCATGGGGCATAATAGGACTTCATGAACATCTCTTTGGATATACAGATGCCCGTGAAAGATGTCAGGGAATGAAGAAAATTCTCAGTGATGTCTGATTTTATAAATTATTTCTGTGAAAGTCAAATTCATTTAAGGTGAACTTTCTATGAAAAATAGTCATGAGAACTTTATTATAATGTAGCTAGTAGTCACATGTATTTGAATGCAGTTTGGCAAAAGAAATGAATCTAATACATAGGTCAGGATGGTCTTCCAAATCAGTTGGTTGTGTAAGTCAAAGCTAACAGCTGGTGGTTACAGTCTTTGTTCACCTGGATATCCACAGCTGTTGGCCATTCAGCAGTCCTCCTGGGCAAGGGAAGCATGGTGTGGTTAAAAGGGAAGGGCAAGGCCTCTGGAAATGGAAGCCTTGGGTTTCTGTTCTGCCCTGTGGCTCCTTTGCTCTAAGACACTAATTCAAGCTAGTTGTTTGAGCCTTTTCTGTAAAGTAGAGAAAATATTATCTGCTGAGGAGATTAACGATTACATATATACAGGGTTGGGCAAAAGGAGGTTTACAGTTGTACGTGAAACACAGTATTACTATTTATTAATTGTATTATTTTTCATATGAACACCAGTAAACCTATTTTGCCCCATTCTATACATATTTTTAGATTGAATGGATATATTTTTAGAGATCTCTATTTAGATATATAGATAGCTAAATAGAGATAAATATATATGTATGTATGTGTGTATATATATATATATATATATATATATATATATATATATATATAATCTCCATTTAAATTTAATTATGGTGCTGTGCATATAAGGCCTTTAGATGGCAGATTCTTTTGGTAGTAACCTAAATGGCAATAGCAGAGTTTGAGTTCTCTTACATCTAATTCCAGCTGACTTTTAGCTGCAAATCAACACTAGCAATACCTACTGCAATCCTCGGCGTGAAGAGCTGGCTCTCCCATCACTGGTTCACAGTGTCCTCAGCAGCAACAGGCTGGCTCCTGGCTCTGAGTCCAGATGACCAAAACACTGCTGATGAAGTCTCCTTCATCAAAAACATTTGGGGTTTGATGTTTAAGTCCCGGGCCTGTGGTCTTTCTCATATTTCTATTTTGCTGGACTTTAGCACTCGTGCAAGATTAAATTCTAGAATCAGGAAGCACTCAATGGACTTTCTTTTCTGAGACCTCCAGCCAGGACTTTAGGAGTCACTAGGCCTTTATGGCTGTGGGTCACAGGTGTCTATACAGACACCAGGGGTGAAGCTGTCCTTGGTTCATTTTTCTTCAATGTAGTGTGTGCACACTTGTCCTGTGTGTGTGTGTTTGTGTGTGTACATTTAGAGTCCAGGAACAACAGGAGGTGATTTGATTACAGCTGTTTGGCTATAGCCATTGTCTGTCCAGACTTTCATGAAGGAAATGGGCAGACTGAGTGATGTTTCTGTATATTTTGCTTAGTTTTGCTCAACCTATAAGAGCTGTAGTTATTTTTTCTTTCTTTTCCCTTCTTTCTTCCTCAAAAGTTTAGCTTCTATAAAACAAGACACAAAAACATTTGATAGCATATTATGCAAATGTTTGTTATTTAATAATGGTGCTCCCAGTATTTACTATTATTAGAGCCATTAGTTGCCATGGCATTTTACTGGCCTCTTCTTCAGGGAATTTCTTTAATGATGGGCAGGTTTGATATCAAAGGGATGCCCCATAGCAGCCACATTATGTTCTGCCAAGGCTCAGGTAATTTAAACATATAAGCAACTGGTACACTGTGGATACTGACCAATCAGAATAGGCACTGACCAGTATAATACAGTGGTAAATGCTGCTGAATAACAGCCTTTATTAATGATCAAGTCTCCACTGAGGTCAACCAAATTAGAAGATTAGCTCATTTTATAGATAACTTCTGTGCCATATCTAACTTACAAAGTCTTCCAGGTCAGATCCTTTCCCAGAGATCTAGTCAAGTTGTTCTTAACCTAGAATTCTTGGGCCCATTGGAGCTTGTGAATGTATTCCCAGGGTCTTTGAGTCTTCTACCTTCACTTGTAAATGTTGTCATTCCTTTTTGGTTATCATTTTAAAAAATCAATAGAACTGCATCCTGGCTTTTCTGTTATGACCACTTTATATTTGAGCTCTGCCACGCAGTCTGTGCCCACATCCTGGCATCCACGGAAAGTGATGAACTTTATGTGGAATTTTTAAAAAAAGGTAAATGGGTTGACATTGATTAATAAGATTATATAGGTTTCAAGCAAACATTTCTAGGATACATGATCTGTATATTGTATTGTGTGCCCATACATTGAACTTTTTAATGTAGCGTGGATGCAGATCTATGGCTGGAGGTCCTCGGATTTATTGTCAGGTGCCAATCTTTAATTGATCTGAAACCTGTTCCAGTCCATCCTCTCACCCATGACAGGGTGGCAAATCTTCCACTATCCTCCACCTTTGCCTCACTCTTCCAGCACAAAGGGAATTCAAACCACATGCAGAGTCATGGATTTGGGAGCGTCAAAAAACCCGGGGACTCTGTGGTCCAGCCTTCAGAGTGTTAAGTGACTTGGTGAATTCCCAGAGCTGTTAATGGAGGATTTGCAATCCTATGTATCTACTGCTTTGCAAACTGCCACTTGGTTTCACATTTGGACAGATTTTATTGTTCTTTTCTCTGTTGTATTTGAATCCACCTCCTTAGAATGTACTTAAAAAACTGGTTCTCATTCTAAACTCTGGAGTCATATAAAACAAGTGTAATTATCCTCTGTGGAAGTATTCAGTGTCCAGCAGAAGTAAAGCCTGCTTGAGTGTGGTTGGTAGGGTAATAATATGGGTGTAATAATTTATAGTTTTAATTTGAACATTTCACCTAAAATGTCATATGGTGTGCTTGAGTGTGATATTGTTATATTACAGAATTACATGCTTATGATTTTGTAATAAAAGATTTTTGTAATAAAAAGGGGTGTTATTTGTGCCAGACCCTGTATATTGTGAAGTTATTTAACTTGTATTCTGGTAGAGTATGGGCCTTGTTCAAAGTCTGCAGTTTTCTTTCAATGTTGTGTTAAGAATATAGTGACACACCTGTATCTTAGAACAGGAACTAAATTTTTGAAAGTGAAACTCTTTTAAAAACAATATTAGGGGAAATTCCCTGTTTAAAGAAAGACTCATTTGCCAATAAAAACAACCATTTCTTAACATAACTTTTGCATATATGATTTTTAAAAGAGAGTTTTTCTATTAAAGTTTTAAAATTGTATTAATTCTTAATTTTTAAACTTATTTTGAACAGGAAATATAAAAAGATAAGGAAATCTTTACATTGTTCAAAGATAAGGAAATATAAAAAGGTACCCCGGAAAAATCCTGCCTCTTGTTCTGCCTACCGTATGCCCAGTCCTCCTACCTCCTTATCTCATAAATAATTTATGGGTCTCAATGCAAATACAAATACAACAAATACAAATATGTATGTATTTTAAAATAGATATTGCTTGAAGCAAAGTGTATACACTGTGAAACTCACATTTCTCAATTGGTCTTATTTTAAGTGATTCTATGCAAGATGATTGGAAATACTGGTACAATTCTAGAATGGGATTATGAGCTTTGTGGACTGGATCCTTGTAAATAGTAGTAATTGACTTACAAATAAATAAAGTGATTTTTTCCTTTTTTCCTCTGATTAATACATTTTATTTTACTTAATAACTTTTTTTCTGCTTACATAGTCATGTATGCTCTTT